TAATGGTGTTTGGTGTTTTCCTAATTAATTTTGTATATTAAACATATTTTCTGCTATGTTTACTAAAAGTACTTTTGCAAAATGCAGAATGATTAGAAAAATACTAAACCCCACCAAATTCATAACAAAATAATATTAACCAGGTATAATTATTATTGAGTAAATGTGAGGCAATGCTGAATCTTAGCTGTTATCAAATAAATACAAAGTCAGACAGTACTCTACATAAAGATATTACCTCTGTTTATTTGCTATAAGTTTGAACCCTGTCTTTTATTTAATGAAACAAAAAAACATGTAATGAAAGCCAAGAACATAGTTGCATGTCTGTAATCCCAGCAAGTGGGAGACTGAGCAAAGAGGGAAGAGGAAAGAGAGCCTAGGAGTTCCAAGGCCAGACAAGAAAGCACAATAAGGCTCCATCTTGCAGGGGTGGGGGGCACTAGTGAGAAGAATGACACCATTTTACACTTTTATAAATCACCTCATTGTCTAGCTATTTCTCATACATAACTGCTGTTACATTTGACATGAAGTGTCACATGTTATGTAACCTCACAATGTATTCCATTCTACCTTTGAGACAGAATAAAAGTGAAAAAACAAGTAATACCTTAGTGTTAATAAGAAAACATATAGTTTTAACTTCATGTATGCCTCAATGGTCTTGAGACATTTTGAATATTTCTAGTTTAGCTTATCTGTATTTTCTATATTCAGCTTTGATAAATTGCAACTTCCAAGAAAATTTTCAGGATTCCATAATTGTTTTAAATATATTTTAGGGTTACACAAAGGAATTCGATTTTTCACTTCCCTGTGTATCTATGGAAATTACATCCTCTAGAACTTTTTGAGTATGCATCTTAGCTTCATTTAATCGTTTCTTAAATTATCAATTAAATGTACACAATCAATAGTTTAAAACTATTTCCTAGTTTTACTTTTAGTTACTTAACACTACTTTTTTTTTAATCTTTGCTATGTTTTCTTCAGCTTTTCTTAGTTATCCCTTTTCTTCCCCTTAACTTCTTAATTGGGACTATATAGTTGACTTATTTTGCTCTTTTTCATTTTTCAATATGTTACATTTCAAAGGTTTTTATATGTAGTCTTTAATTGTCTTATAGCTTTGCTATTAATTTCTAGCTTCTATTTGCTCTTCTTTTGTAGCAAAACTCCTATGAACTGTCTGTACTTATCATATCTAATTCCTACTCTCTCTTAAATCTACTTTAATCTCAGGCTTCTGACCACCACCTTCACATAACTAAATTAACTATCGTTTCTCATCTTACCTGACTTATCAGCATAACATGACAAAGTTAATCCAGCAAATTGGATCTTTTTCATAATATCTGGTATGAAGATGAGCTGGGATTTATTTTCTTCCATGTGGATAACCATTTGATTAAGCACCATTTATCTTTTACCACTATTTGTCGCAAATCAAATACGACATATGTGTAGATGTATTTTAGTGCTACATAAAGTGCCATTATTTTGTCAGTCCTTGATCACTTTCACTTATTATTATACTTTATGAGCTTATATATTTAGGAGTAAGTTTTATAACTTGTATTTTTCCTGATTGTTTTAGCTATCTTTAGCTTTTTCAATTGTTATATAAGTTTTAAAATCAGCTTATTGATTCCACTTTAAAAAGTCAGCTTTTCATTTCACTACGCCTATATAGATTAAAGAGAAAAACTGACACCTTTAAATTTGAATCTTGAAATCCATAAATGCAGGTTATTCTTCCATTAATTGAAGTCTTTATTTTTTTTTAATTAGTTCATGTTTGCAGTATATAATGTTCACATTCACTCTGGGGAATTTGTACATGTACATAAGACATCTTAATTCTTCAGTTTTCGTCACCCTTTCCTCCTTCATTTCCTCATTTAGAGCTTTACTTTGTCTCTGTGAAGACCTAAGAGTTGTCTATGTCATCACACGTGTCTCAAATATTTATCCCTACATATGTGATTCATTGATGTAAATTAAATCACATATTATCTCAGTTTTGTCAGTGTTGCTTTACAGAAAAACAATTATGTATTGGCATTGTGTCCTCATCTAAATCACTGATTAATGCTAATCCTTTTCTGAGTAAATAACTGTAACATCCATAAATAAGAGCACTTTCTAATCTTTATCCTTTCATTTATTTTTCTTACATTACTGTGTTGGCTAGGACTTCTAAAACAAGTCTGAATAGAGAAAAAGTCTTGGTCTTTCCTCTCATTAAGAAAGTTCTAATACTGTATCATTAAATATGATGTTTGCTGTAGGTTTTGCAGATACCTTTCTTCAGAATACTTAAGTTACTGTTCTTATTCATAACTTGTTCAGAATTTTGATATAGAACAATGTTGAATTTCTTTTATTGGCACTTAGCACTGTCATTCCAGCATTTAGAGTATTGTTCTACCCATAATTTTTCCTTTATTCTATTAATGTAATGAATTATACTGGTTGTTTTTTCAATGTTAAAACCAAACTTACATTTGCTAAAATAATATAAACTGGATCAAAACATGTCTTCTAATATATTATGAGTTTAATTTAGTAACATATTGTTTAGGATACTTCCTCTACATTCATGAGGGATTTGGCTATGATTTTTGTTCTTGACATTTCCACATCAGACAGCAGTGTCATGATTATGATGGTTTTACCATAATAAACTATGATATGTGTCCTTTTCCTCTGTTCCCTAGAAGAATTTGTAAAATAAATTTTTGTTTGTTTTTTTGGCAGAACCAGGGATTGAACTCAGATCCTTGTGCTTGCCAGGGAAGCGCTTATTCTACTAAGCAAGAAATTGTATTTCGACAGTTATTTTTTTCCTCCGAGCACACAGAACTATCTTTTTGTTGTCTTCTAGCTTCTTGGTTTCTGTCCACACTGAAGCATCTCTGCCTTAACACCACCTCACAGGTCAGCCCCTCGGCCTGCCCTACTGTGGTCTGCACAGCACAACCCTCACTCCCTGCTGCTATCCCAGGATGCTGAGAATGAAGCTGCCCCAAAGCTGGTGCATCCAATGGAGTTACTGATCAATCTGGAGGAGTGTGAGAGAAAATATCAGGAATCTGTTTCAGCCAATTATAAAACTGTTCCTTTAAAGACCTTTTTTTCCCCCCATCTCTCTCACTACTTTTAATGTTTTCCCTTTAACTTTGGTTTTCAGTTATAATGGGGATATATAGGTATAGTTTTCTTTTAATGTTAATTTGCTTGAGACTTATAATGTTTCTTACATCTATGCCTTCAGAGTACAGCATTTTAGAGGCTCCAGTCCCAGGTAATGACATGAGAAAAGCCATGGCCCTAGATGTTAACTCAGTGAGGCCAACCCTGCCATCTCTAGCTTTTAAAACCATCCCAAATGAAGACCAAGATATTATACAGCACAAGCAAGTCAAATCTGTTGGATGCTAAGTCAATTCCTTAAGCTTAAGAACCATGTACATACAAAAGGTAGTTGTTTTATATTGATAACCTAGGAGTTATTACTATTGGAAGAATAAACCACAAGGAGGTCCTGAGTATTTCTGCACATTTTTACTATGTTTCAAGAATGAAAACTATTACCAGTTTTTATCTGGGTTATTTCTCTGGGCTAACGTTACAGCTAGCAAACTGAAAGCAATTCTTCTACCCAGAGCTACAAGTACTACAAGTCACAAAACCAACTAAATATAAACATTGATTGAGATAGTTCAAAGGTGATTTTATTTTTAGGGTACAAGTGGCATTTTGGGGTTCCAACCTAAGCACAGAAGGTTTACAACCACTAACTCCTCAACTTTAGCAGGCTCTAAACACCTGTTTCTGTTTCTCTAGCCAAAAGTGCCTCTCAAAACTCTGCTCAGCTTCTTAGAATCAGCACAATGCTCAGGGTAAGGGTGGCTCGAAATGCTAGGGTCATCTTTCTCTGCCTTATTAATATTCTAACGCATTCAAATTCGTCTTATATTTTGTCCACTTTTCTCAGTGCTTAGAGTGTTCACTCAAATCAAGAACTTCTTTTTTTTTTACCTTTCTGTTCTCAATGGTCTAGACACACACACAATGTTTTCTTTTGAAGTATGCATTCTACCAATATCTTTCTCTTTCTTTTCCTGTACTGGAACTCAGGACCTTGTACTTGCTACGCTGATGCTCAAGCCGCTGAGCTATATCCCTGGCCCTCTACCATTATATTTAAAAGTGACACACATTGTCCAATAAACCAAAAAGATAACACCTTGGGAACTTTATAAATACCACTTGCACAAAAACATTTTGTCTGAAGCAAGGAAAACAAACTATTTGTAATGAATTTATTAAAAAAAATCTTTTAAAGATTTTTCCATTACATTTTCACAATTTCCAAGTTCATCTGTGTTCTTACAGTTCTGCCTGAAAAGCTTTCCTGCTTACTTGTTCTTTCTTTAAGATTAACCCTTCTTAATTTAAGAATAATTTACTAAGTAATTTTACAATTAATTTAGAAAAGAGAAAAAAAAACATTTCAGCTATTCATATTTTAATTATGTCATTACTTATTTTTAAAAAATCTATTTATTTATTTATTTGCAGTCCCAGAGATTGAACTCAGGATCTTGTGCTTACCAGGCTAGCACTTATTCTACTGAGCTATCTCCCCGGCCCTATGTCATTACTTATTGATAACTGAACTATCGATATTTTAATACCTTTCTTTTGTAATCATTACACACTACTTTGGGGGTACCAGGAATCAAACACAAGACCTTGTGCTTGCCAGGTAGGCACTTGTCCTGCTGAGCTATGTCCTCGGCCCTTTATCATTAAACATTTATTAACATTATCTAGAAACTGAATGTCACAACCTAAAGGTTTTTAAATATTTCAACACAATATAGTTTTTAATTGTCTTCCTCTTGCCTTAATAAAACTACATAACTTTATGAAGACCCGAAGTTTAGTTTTGAAAGTCTGGGAGAAACACTATGACTACCAACACTTACAGTGAAAAATACGGAAGTCAATGTAGGGATGAGAGCCTCTTCTTTCTGACTCAAATCCTGCTCGGCTCCTTACGCGTACATCTCCTGGAAGAATAAAATGGAAGTTTAGAAGGCTATCATTAGTGGAGAAGCTTCCACATGCAAAGAAGGGCTATGTAATATTATAAAAGAATGTACAATATACTCATGATATAATAGCAATGGGTTCTATTGAAGGGGTTAGCAAGTTTTCAGTACTGAGTTATAAGGCTGGATAAGGATAATTTTTTAAAAAATTTACTCCCACAATAATAATAATAATTATTGTCTTTGGTTTAAAGCAAGGCAGGCCTTAAAGGATAATTCAAGTATATGATAGTCCAACCTAACATCACATGGAGCTAAAAGAGAAATAAATTCTGTTTTATAGGAGATAGATAATCCTCAGAACAAAACCTTAAATAGCCACAGCAAGAAGTAAATGTTCATTAAATGTCAACTCTGCGTCTAGCATTATATTATGGCTTATAAGAGACATGAAAAATAGAAAAATACATTATTTACTTTCAAGTATAAAGTTTACAATTTCATAAATATATAGCAAATTAAGTTGCCATGTCCTGTTTGATTCATCTTTTTTTATGTCACTGTTAATGGCATGTTCCAGGTTTCTGGCTGGTTAAAGTTTGGGTTTTATAAGTCAGTGATGCTCTTACATGTATGCACATGACATAAAGATTAATTCTTTATATAGCAACATGACCATGGCAACCATGTACCAAGTACTCTTTTTGTCTTATAGAAATGGTCTTGCTGAATTCCCTAACAAAGTTCAGGCAATTTTAATTTCCACTTTACACATACAGAACCTGGAGTCTGAGAATTTATTTCATTTATTTATTTTTTTATCTGCTTCTTTAATTCCCCTTTGGTATGTACTTTAACATATTTATGAATTCCAGGGATAAGGCTATGGGAGTCTTTGAGAGATAATTATTCTTTTTTTAAATTTCTTTTTTTAATTATTATTTTTTTATTTTTTAATAGATTGCAAATTGAAAATAAATTATTTACAAACATAAATGAATATAACAACAAAAGTTGTCCAAAATAAAAATGAAGAAAGAATTTACAGATCAGTCATAGTAGTTCACTGTCAAAGCCAAGAAACTTATATTTATATAATTAGAATTCTCAAAGTAGACAGGAGTAGGCAATAAATATTTAAAGATTTAAAATTTCTGAATTTAGTTCAACTTATAATACCATATTTCCAAGAAAAATGAACCTTTAACTCTGAGAATTTAAATAGCATTCTCCATGCCACAAAGTTAGTGCAAACTTAGTCCCGGAGGCTTCAAAAACAGCACTTTTTTATTACATTTTTACAGCCTCCAAGCATATAACTGCAATTCTTCAGCCCCATCCCCATACTTCTGCAGTTCTATCTGGAAAGCTTTTTCGTTCCTGTTTGTTTCCCTAGGTAATTACATTCCTTCCATCAGATTAATTTCATCTACATGACTGTCCCACAATGACTGACCATCTTTCATGTGGTGATCTCCCTCATACTGTAACAAAGGTTTAATGAACAATATATGCAGCAGGCATTGAACAGACAGCACTGAACAATATACTGAAAGTCCTTGCTCAAGATGTTTATCTTCTCATTGAATGAGACAAAACAGAAAATACATAACTTCATTCTACAGAAGATGTTAAGAAGTTACATGGAGAAGCCTGAAAGGTAAAGGGGAGGAAGAAACAGGGGGAGGGGTGATTCAACAGTGTGGTCAAGGACATCCCCACTGAAGAGGATGCAGATGAGCATAGACATGAGGGAAAGGAGACGGTGAGCCCTAGGTGTCAGAGGGAAAAGGCTTCCAACAATAAAGGACAGCGGGGACAAATTCCCTGAGATAGTTGTATATTTGGTAGGTTCAAAAATAGGCAGAGGCCAGTATGGCAGGAGGTTGGAGAGTGAAAGAATTGGTAGGAGGTGAGGTTGAAGAGCAAATATGGCCACTGTAACCTGGGCCTTGTGGCCATTATTAACAGCTCTGGTTATTACTGTAACATAAAAAGCCATCAGAAGATTGTGAACAGAGTAAGATTCCTCTGGCTGCTATGATTAGAATAGACAGGTGGACACAGTATCAGGTATTTTATGGCCTCATGGAATAGACAGGACCAGTTAGAGAACAAACACAAGGCAATATGGTTTAGACTGCTGTGGTAATAACATCAGCTGATAAGATTCTACATGTATATTGGAGGGTTTAGCTGATGACTTAGACATTGAGTATGTAAGAGAAGTCAGAAATGACCCTATGTTCTTGGCCTGACAATTGGAAGACTAGAGTTACAATTACTGATATGGGAAAAGACTACCAAACAAAGACAGCTGGAGAACACAAACTAGTGTTTGTTCATTTGTTTGTGTTAAGATATGCTAAATTAGAGGTATCCAAACATACTCACGTGGAGATGTTTTTAAAAATTAAAGAGAAAGGGTGATCAAAACACATGGTAAATTTTAAATTTCAAAAAATTCAGTATAGTACAAGTACATATTACTATTAACCCTTCTCACTTCAGAAACTTTCCAGTCATTCTTGTTATTCTGTGAAGCAGTTTTAGAATTCCTTTGTGTCTTCATAACATGTGATTAAAAAATATGGTAAATGCTGCTGCAAGTACTATTCAGCGGAAAGGCAGGCCAATAAAAACATTAAGGTGTATCCTCACATTTACTTTATTCACAGGATTGGGCACTGTGTAACAGTGGTTCTTCCCCAAAGTCAAAATAACCATGAAAAATAAGTGTTTTAAACTAATTCAAGATATTAAGGCACCCACACTAGCACAGCTAGATGTCCATGGAATAACACTTCTAGAATTGCTTCAGAAAGCGGCAAGAATGACAGATAAGTATTTTTTAGGGAGGAGGGTATATTTTGAGAGGTATGAATATCAGTGTGTCTTTCAGTCTACTAAGTTTTTAAAAATTTAAATGTTCCCTTTATTTTTTAATAATACGATCTATCAAAATACCTAGAGCTATTTTAAGTATAAGAGAATCCTAAACATGTTTGCAGAATGAGATACAAGAGGTAAAGAGGAAAAGGCTACATATTTATGAGAAAAAAAAATAAGTACAAGAGCAGAACAGAATTGAGGCAGGTAAGACATAGAAAGTAGATTAAAGGGGAAAAAAAGAACAAAATCAAAGCCTTGTGGAATATTTACACTTAAAAAATTAGAGGTGGTGAAAAATAAAGATTGCGCAATACATTAAAGACAAGAATTCGAAGCATGAGGAAAGGAACTACAGGAGACTCCTCTAACAAATGCTGAGTAAATCTGCCTTTTGGAACCTTAATATACATACAATCAACAGTGTGAATTAAAGTGCAAGGGGTCACTGAGTGTACGGCTCAGGAGAGAGCTCTGACAAAGAGGAAAAGAAAAGTTATACATAGATTTACGCATTAGTCCACTGCGAACAAAGTATCTCCAGAGACAAGTCTGTCTGATCAGGCATTTTATGGCCTCATCGTCATCCATGTTAGCACTCCTCTTCATTTAGCAACTCTAAAAAACGATTTTTGATGAAGAATGTTCAAAAATTGGCTTAAAATTGTGTACTAATGATATGGGCATGTGGCCCACTGCAGTAAGCCCTGCACTCTGGGAAACTGAGGCAGGAGGATCACAAGTCTAAATTCAGCCTGGGTAACTCAGTGACTTAGCTAGAACCAGTCTCAAAAACAAAACAAAACAATGACAACAACAACAACAAAACAGCACCAAGGAAAGTGTCCTAGTTAATAAGCCAGAGATTTCTCAATTACCTATACCTCTAAAATGTCTTTCTTTATTCATACCATATTCAAGACTGGTTTTTAGACTTTAAGTTTGATGCAACAGATTATCTCTTCTACAAACAGTTATGAAAAACTACCTAATGAAAGATACACCAACCTCAAATAATAATATAGGATAACCACATTAACTGAAAACACTAAAAACCAAATAGTGCTTACCTAGCATACGAATGTATAATGCAGTCTGATCAGAACTGTCATAGGAAATAGCTCCACGCCTCTAGGAAAAAAAAAAAAAAAGACATTTTAATACATGACAATGAAATGTAATCTGAAATTCAATTTAGAGAAACAGATTATATATTACTTGTGAAGCACTGTGTAAGAGAAGCTGGGCATATAAAGAAAATTAGATATGATATCTGCTCTGGAAATGTCTAATTGAAGGATAAACAAATACTTCTCTTTTTAAAATTTTTCTTTCTTTTTATTCATTTATTGGCTACAGGGTCTCACTATGCAGCTCAGACTCACAGTGATCTTCCTTTCTCAGCATCCCCAGCGCTGGGATTACAGGCATGTGCCACCATGTCCAGTTTCAGGGTCAGCACAGTAACCTGGGGTTCTGATGCCAGCATGGGGATCAAACTCAGGTCTTTGTGCTTGCCAGGCAGCCACTTAGACCGCTGAACTATCTCCCCATCCCTAGACAAATACTTCTAATACAATATAAAGTACATAGTAAGCATTATAAAAGCAAATATAGAGTGGAAATGATCTGTGAGCGACATCCAAATTGACTTTTTTTTTTTTTTAATGTGGTACTAGGGACTGGATCCAGGGCCTCTGCACTGCAGATACATTCCCAGGCCTTTTCTTTATTATTATTTTTTTAATTTTGAGACACGGTCTCATGGAATCACTAAATTGCCCAAGTGGGGCTCAAGTTTGTGAACCTTCACAAAATTTAACAAATTTCCCATTAGACTATAAGCTCTGTGGAGGCAAAGACTTTGTTCACCAGTGTATTGCCAGATCTAAGACAAATTTGAATGTTCAGAACAGAGCCTAGCACAATCTTGACAGTAATCTTGAATTAAAAGGTTGAATAGTTTTTTAAAAGCAGAAGTAAATGAAACTAGGACTATGAAATTAATATACAAAAAGGAATAGTACTACAAAGGAATGGGAAAACAAAATAGACTCTAGAAATAAAGAATATACAGTAATATTGAATATGATAAAAATACAAGACAGGGCTGGCGAGATAGCTCAGCTGTCGAAAGTGCCTGCTTAGGCAAGCTTAGGCAGGAGCAGGGGACTGTGGTTCCATCTCTGGAACCATGTGCTGTGCCAGCCCCACCCTTACGGTGGGCTGAGCTGGCCAAAAATAAATAAATAAAAATAAAATAAACTACAAGACAAAATCTGTGTAGGAAAAATTATTTATTAATAAGCACAAAGAAAAATGCTCAACTTTATTCAAAAGAAAAATACACATTAAATTCATAATTTGCATTTTACTATTGGATTAATGATCTTCACAAAATTCTGACACAGGGTTTACAGCACCCCCCCCATCTACAAATCTCAAGGGAAAGATAAAGTTTCAAAATTACACTTATAGGGGGCTGGGGAGATAGCTCAGTAGAATAAGTGCCTGCCTGGCAAGTGCAAGGTACTGAGTTCAATCCCAAGTACCACAAAAAAAAAAAAAAGGTGTCATCAAAATTACACTTACAAAGATTTAGTTTGCAAAACTCCCCAAACCTTAAATTATATATTTAATGCTTATGACTTAAGAGAAAATTGTCAATTAAAATCTTCCATGACTTCATGTATTCTGTTTTAAAAAGTTCATGAAATGTAAAAGAAATAGACATTTCAAACAAAAATAAATTATCAACACTGCTTGTCTTTAAAGATAGTGATGGACACAAATGTAGAGAACCTTTCAATGTACAGCTTTATACTTCGTTTTTGTAGTAAATACAGCCATTATCATCACAAATTAAAAATAAAAATACTTTACAAAAAAAAGCATGATCACAAATGTCAAATGACTGCAATGTACAGAACACACGTCCAGTATCCTGCTTACCATGTCTTCTAACAATACAAAAAAGGGTAATGAAAATCATCTCGATTATCAGTTATGACACACTAAAGTTATTTTATGGTACTCATTTAGACTTATTTACAGGATCACTAATTTATATATTTAAAAGATAGGATCTATATTAGCTTTAGCAAAAACTCAACAAACAAGGAAGAATCCAATTTTAAGTATATATTAACAAATTACTTAAGAATGTGAAAATTACTCAAATCTTTCCATTAATTGAAAAATATTAAGTAAGGCTGGTCTACAAATATTTAGCTTACATGCCATATTGAAACACAAGACATTCAATCACCTAATAGAAAACTTGAGCAAAATAAACAGTGGTACTTCAGATGTATTCACTGGGATTTAAAACATGACTGTCTTTACAAGTTATGTATTAACTTATATTGTGAACGACTTTTATGCTTTTTGTCATCTTCCTTCAAGTCAAATCTTTATGGAAGAGTGACTCATCCTGATTCAAGGTGAGTGAGTGTCTTACCAGGGCTCTCAGAATTCCTATGAGCGCAGCAGTGGAGTCTTTGGAACTTACAGTTTATTTTTACTAAATAAATCCAAGTGAGACAAAACTTTTTTTAAGGAATAAACTTTAAAAATTGTCTGAGCCCATCAATGAGTACTACCTGAGAAAATCATTTATCTCCTTAAGGATTAAGAGTACAATAAATATTACTAAGTTCTTCCATTAAGCAATCTAGGTAGAAAAACCTAAAATAATTCCTTTTAGAAAAATATACTATAAATTGTGAACTGGGACAATGAAATTTTACTTCCACATTAAAATTATTATTTTAAAAAATCTGTGCTTTATATACTAAGTATGTTGCACATACTTAATAGTTCTTTAAAGATTACCATTTTTTAAAACTATGTATTAGTAGAACTTTACTCTTAATAAAAACAGTAAAACAAATCTCATTGAAGTCCTGTGTCCCAGGTCAGTCACAACATACTCTGGGCTAGCATCCACATTCCCACCTCACCTAACCAGTGAATGGAAATAACTGAGGCTCCTACTCGTGACTCTTCTAATTTAGCCATCCTGGGAACAGCTTGTAAAGCAAACTAGTATAGGTCAAAACATGGGCGAGGCCGAGCTAATCAGAAACTGACAGCCACAGCACAAACAAGTTAAACTGTAAGGTTCCAAAGACTCCACTGCTGTGCTCACGGGCATTCTGAGAGCCCTGGTAAGACACTCACTCACCTTGAATCAGGGTGAGTCACTCTTCCATAAAGATTTGACTTGAAGGAAGATGACAAGAGGCATAAAAGTCGTTCACAATATTAGTTAACATATAACTTGTAAAGACAGTCATGCTTTAAATCCCAGTGAATACATCTGAAGTACTACTGTTTATTTTGCTCAAGTTTTCTGTTAGATGATGGAGCACACACAAAAAAGTGTATTTTTCTTACAATGTAAGGCAATAACAGCAAATGTTCAGTGCCTTCATGCAAAATTTCATTTCATCCAAATAAGAACTCCATTACTGTAAAGGAGTTAGCTTGTTGCATTTGTAACTAGTGAACTAATGAGTAAAGTGCTTAAACACTGTAGCACTCAATAAAAATTCTGGTAACACAAAAAAAACAGTACTATATAAGCAATACCATAAGCACAACCAAAGTTCCAAACCACTTTTCTCTCATAAAGTACAGTAAGTTTTCTCAAAGTATATACACCTTACATCTGTGAGAAAATTTTGCTTGTGCTTGACTCTCTAATGTATTCCAATACTGTACTGCTTCACTTCCCATTCTTCCTCTCTCTAGTATTTTTTGAAATAAGATCACTGGCATTCTTTAGTTTAAAATTTAGTTTTCTGGTGGACAGTTTAAAATTTCACAATTCAACTAGTACATTATTAATATTAACTTGACCTTCATTCCATAATATGGCAAGTCAATCAAAAAAATAAAAACCAAGTAAATAGCTGCCAGTACAAAAAAAAAATTCTTAACTTTTAAAACACTAGAAGTTTTTGCCATGTTTTGTTTCTTGGAGAGATTTTTTAAATTATATTTACTAAAAAGAACACTTCAAGTAAGATACAGCATGCTTAAAAGGCAAAAATATGAAAAATTACATAGCAGGATTAAAAAATCGTGCTTGAAAAAGCAAACTAAGTTTAGCGAAGTGGTGCTTAGCAAATACTTACAGGCTTATACATTTAAATTTAACACTCCTCAATATCTCAATATGGAAAGAAAAAGACGGATGGCAGATGAAAGATAAAATCATTTTTATACAAGAATAAAAAATTTCAAATAGTATAATCTTAAATATTTCTTTAGTTTTAGACTTTTGTCCACATGGCAGTTGGCCAGTTAGCATTCTATCAAGTATTTCTCAAGCCTGATGTTCAGTATTAAACTTCAAAAACAAATATATTTTTGTCAGTATAATATAGGTAAGGCATACATTTTTAATAGAAAGAACTTAAGAAAACATGACAGAGGGTGGAGATTTAGTATTTCAAAAGCTTATCACTATTTGTAAATAATAATTACAATTTAAAACATAAGCAATAGTAATTTTTCTACAAAAGAGAATGTTTAAAATGTGTAAACCTGAAGTCTACATCCATTTTATATTATTAAAAGTTGGCCTTCTTCAATTATAAAAACATCTTCAGGGAATGACACTGAGAAAAAAGCTACTTTGATAGGAATGATACCATAAAAAGCCCTTGAGAAGGAATAAAGTGAGGTAAAAATAAAAATTACAAATAAAAATTTTAAGCATTTTAGCTGACAGGGAGAATTCCTAACTCCTTTAAGCAATGAAATAAAAACTGATGCAAAAGAAGAAAATTATGTAGCTATATCATTCCTTTCAAATATGCAAATTAATGATTAGTGTCACAATCCCCAAAATAAAGATGGCCTACCTTAGACGTGATCCACTTGATAAGAACCAAGGCCAGACACCAGATCAATGTAATTCCCATTGGATCAATCAAAAGCCTGCTGCATAATCTCTCCCCCCCAGTGAGCAACGAGAAAGAAAGACTCCTCAGGAGTCTGATAAATAAGCAGCTGTCCGGAGGCAGCAAAGGGGGGCACTGACTGCCATAAGCCTCAGGCAGCTGCTTTCCACCAGGGATCACCTGACCCCAGTGAGAATGCAGAGTCCAGCCAATCTTCTT